CCATGCACATTAATATCTCATAAGCATTCACTTATGCCCAAGCATGTCTCATTACAATTAATCAAGAGTTCATAAGCATTCACTATATTATAAGCATGTCCCATTACAACCATGCATATTCAATAATTCATAACAGTAACATCTTGATACAAACAGATGCATAATTCTCTAACCATAACGAATTTCAACATGATTTCCAAACTAAATTTTAAGTAGACACACCCATATTCCATTTTAAAGTATTTTGAGCTCATTTGGAGTCCATTTGGTTAGTAAACACTTTAGTACAAAATATACAATAGTTCTAGAAATTCATTGCAACTCACAATAGTGACATATTCATACGAACAGGAGCAGAACTCCCAAACCATAAAGAATTTCAACATGGTTCCAAAACCATTTGTTAATTATACACATCTATATTTCTTTTAAAACTAGTTTTAGTTCATTTACACATGATTTAGTTAGCAAACAGTTCAGTAAAAAATATACACTAGTTTTGGAAATTCACTACAACTCACAATAGTGACATATTTATACAAACAGGAGCATAACTCCCAAACCATAAGAATTTCAACATGGTTTGAAAACCATTTTTGAAGTAGAAACACCCATATTTCTTTTTAAACTACTTTGAGTTCATTTGGATACAACTTGGTCAGTAAATAGGTCAATACAAAATATAACAGTTCTAGAAGTTCATTGCAACTCACAATAGTGACATATTCATACAAACCGGAGCATAACTCCCAAACCATAAAAAATTTTAGCATTGTTCTCAAATCATTTTTGAAGTACAAACACCCATATTTATTTTAAAGTAGTTTTTTCTCGACTGGATATGATTTTACAAATGAAAAGTTCAACACAAAAACCTGTATTGTTCTTGAAATTTCATTTCCAAGTTTTAGCATACACCAATGAATGAATAGAAACTTCCAAACCAAAATAGGCATTAATACAAGGTATTTTTCTTCTTAAAATAGGTACACAATGGTGCTTTCCCACCAATATTCATGACCAATATAAATATATTCAATACTTAATCTATCATCCAAATAAGAGTCATGATCCTGGAAAATCATGGCTTATTCTAGCGTAAATTCTGTAACATATAGCCACATCCATACTCAAATCATCAATATTCATACTTAAACTTGATGATTTGCATATTCAAACTCATATTTGCAGTCACACATATATAATTATGCTTAGAATTCATACATAGATGAACTAACAAAAACATGTATCACAAAGCATGAAAGCATGGAGAATGAATCTACTTACAGTACTACAATGACTCCTAATACGTTCCACAAAAGCCAAGCTCCAAGGATGGGTTTCAAGCCCAAGGCTCTAAAGGCTTAAAGGGGGGAAAAACGTGGGGGAGAAAGAGAGGGTGTAAAACTCTTGAGAGGGGTGTTTGAAGGGGTACTTATAAGCAAAGTGGGGAGAGGGCAGCATGCACAAGCCAAGTGGCATTCATGCAAAAGCTAAGTGTCATGCAAGGGCCATGTAAGTGCCATACAAGTGCCATGTAAGTGCCATGCAAGTGCCATGTAAGTACCATGCAAGTGCCTTGTAAGTGCCATGCAAGGCTTATGAAAGAGGAAGCACATAAATTGTCACACACGGCTGCTAGAAGTCACACACGACTGCTGCCCAAAACACATACGGTGGCATGAACGCACTCGGCGGCATGAACTCCCTGTTGCGCACGGTGGTGTGAACTATGTTACGCACGGCGGCTTGAACTATGTTGCGCACGACAATATAAGCTGCCTATCGCGCATGGCGACGCTCATTTCTTTTGTCTCTCACTGCCGTACATGGCTCTCACTCTCATTGCCGCCCACATCGGCACATACACACTGTCGTGTACTGCAGCACACACAAACTGCTGCACATGGCAGCACACACACGCATGGCTCTCACTCTCACTGCCATGCACGGTGGCACACACACACTGCCGCGCACAACTCTCCTAAACTGTTGCGCACGGCGGTCTAACTCTCCCTGCCAATGACCCGCCAGCGCACTACAACCTACCTGAAAATCTTGGTCCTTACAAGCGACCTTAAGAATCCTTCGGGGTACTTAGGCTTTGTGCTTAGTACCCTTTCTGTTGCCCCCAGTAACACTTCCTAGGGGAGGTGACGCCAGAAGGCTGTCCGGTAGTTGAGTGGTCTCTTCCCTCTCTCTTCTTCTTCTCTCTTCTCTCTTCTTCCTCCCTTTCTTCTTTTTCCTTTTCACTCTGCTCTCTTGCTTTGACCACCTCTCATTTCTTCATCTAGTCTCAAACCACTCTTTAAGAGGCTCTTTTGAGGCGTATTCCATCTGGTTTCAAACCCATTTGTCTAAAGACCCTAAGAATCCTTCGAGGTAACTAGGCTTCATGTCTAGTACCCTTTCTTTTGCCTCTAATAATACCTCCTAGGGGAGGTGATTCCAGAAGGCTGTCCGAATGTCAAGTGGGCTCTCCCCCTTTCTTATCTTCTCTCTTCTCCCTCTCTCTTCCCTCACATCCTCTTCTCTCTTTTCTTTTTCTTAAAACCTTTAATCTTGAACCCTCGCAAACCCACCCCTTCACTCTCAAAACCTCTGAGGAAGAACTAGGGTCATCGACCCCTTTCAAGCCATCTTACACACGTGTGATTCAAGGCACAGCACAGTGCAATGCAGTCAGAGCCAAACCGAGCAGAGAGGCAGGGGTTTTTCCAAATTGTGATCAAAGAAGGCTTAATGCCCAAGCGTGTCGCGACCCCATCGCATGAGCTAGGTCCTACCCCACCTAAATATTTCTTTTGTTAGTTCTAGTCGCACACACACAGATCGCATGCATTCTTCAAGGAAGGGCTCTCCCCCGGGCCAACCCCGAACAGGGTTCCAGGTCAGGATGAGATCCAAGGCTGACCAGTATTACCCTGCTAATATCTTCTTTGAGATTCTTAAATATTTGATTCTATTAATTCAAATGCTCCAAAATTGCATTGCTAGATGTCTTGCGATGTTGACATGGTGTATGGATCACAAGTCATAGATCTTAAGGCCCCATGACGTTGATATCAATTGACGAAGGAAGAAAGGGAAAATATAAAACAAGAACCTAATATCTAATATCTGGAGAAACGTAAAACAAAAATATGGAAAAACTAATGCATCATTTTTTAGTATTTGGAACATTTTAGAATAACATTGAGTAGGTTTTGATTGGATATCGACTTCAGCATTCTAGTCCTGGCATTAGTCCAACTCTATCTATATCTGAGTTTTCAGAAGCCAAAGAAAAATCTTAATCTCAATTGAATTGAATAAACCCTCGTCATTCGTATAATTCATGCTCAAAAAATCTTTAGAAAATCTTAGGAAAATAATCAAAAATCCTTATAACAAAAATCTAAGGAAAATAATAAAAACTCCCTATAAAAATCTTAGGAAAATAATAAAAAATCCCTATAACAAAAATCCTAGAAAAATCCTTAGTAACTAGAGAAAACATTCTTTAGACTAGAGAAAACAATGGAACCTATAACTTGGAAACCCTAGAAAACCTTAGGTGATCAAACCCTATGTCGATTGTCTTCAACCCTAAGTCTCTTCAATCATCAAAATCCTAATTCATAACCCATAGGAAGACAATGCCCAGGCAAAATCAAGGCCTTAGGATGAACATACCCTAGAGACCCATTCTTCAAGAAAAAGGGAAGGAGAACGTAACAAACCAATTTGCGGTCTAATACGGGTGCCAATTCTGGGTTCCGAGTGTCCAGACCAACTAGGCTCCAGGTAAGTTTGCTTTCTTTCTTTAATTTAATTTTTATTTTACTTTCTTGGTGCCATCAATTCTCATAGATGTTGATCTTTTGAGATCATGATCTATGTTTGAACTGCAATATGATTGATCCCCACGAACTTTAGTAATAATTTTTAACCATTTACAGCACAAATCCAAGGAGATTTCATCAAGATCTCCTTAGATTTGGATTCTTAAGAGTAGATTTCTTGCAATTAAAAATCGGATTGAGGTTGCAGGCATGCAGTTCTTAACCCAAAATAAACACGTACAAAAGCAATGAAAAGATCGGCCCCACCAGAAGAGGGTATTCATATAGAAAAAAAGTACATAATCTATGTTCGATCCTTACGTTTTTGCATTTCTACCGCGTTGGGATTCAACCGATGAATTCATCAATTACCAAAAAAGTGGGCCAGGGGAGACATAGGTTCTCAACTTAGTAGGACAGAGAAACGTGAGACCAGACATGGTATTTTACTATTTCACGTGAGGACAAGTGGAGGAATGGGACTATTTCAAAATAGACGGTCCAAATATCCCCCTCATCTCTATTGGTGCGGATATGGCCATGGCGCTTCACATGCCACAAATTTTTTTAATTAATTTGATTAATGTTTTTTTAAAAAGTATAAAACTTATATACTTGATTATTGGACAAACGCTTCCCCTACAACATAAAACTTACATACTTCCGCTTATCCAACCATCCATTCTTAATGGAGGGCTAAGATTGCCCCAATCACAATGTCACGTTTCTATATTATTATTATTTTTCTATAAACTATTCTGACACCAAATTTTGGACATCCATTCCTCTATTAAACTCACACTAGCAAAAAAATATAAAAAAAAATTTTCAATAAAATAAAATGATCAAAATACCCCTGAAAATTTTAAAAGGTATTTTGATCATTATATTTTATCGAAAAAATATTTTTAATATTTTTGTAGGTGCGCCCCAATGAGAAGATGACACGTACCAAATTTCATATTTATACAATTTGTCAAAAAAAAAACTAAAAATAAAATACTTTGAGACATCGGATCTAAGATCAAACGATGAGTGGCTCTCGTCAAAATTGGACGGCTGGATGGTAGGAGGGTATAGTTCTTCTATGCTGTAGGGAAAGTACAGTAACGTTTCCCAAAAGTATTATAGGTATATAAAAGGGTTTTCATAGCCATAAAAGAACACCAAGAAAGCTATCTTAAAAAACCTTTATCTATGTGATAACAGTCCAAGGACATTACTAACAAAATCCAAGAACTTTAACATGTATTTTCATCTTTCTTTCTCAATACTCTCGCTATGACTCTGCTCTTCCAACGTTGGTGGATGAGTGTGAGAAAGATATTGATGAACTACATTCACAAGTTATGAACATATGTACAAAACCGTCCCAACATTATGCACATCAAAAACATTACCTAATTACTCTCTCTCAAACATGTGCCTCACCAAGTTTTGTTAGAAAAGTTTGTTCATAGTCGTGTTCTTGAAAACACCAGTAAAGAGAAAATGAAAATGACTCCAGAGTCTCGCATAGACACTCAATAAATCTGCTCTTGCCTATCTTTCCACCATCTCCACCTGCACCCACAAAAGTCCATGGAAATTTTCAACCACAATGTTGCCAAAAAAAAAACACAAGAAATTTTCAACCACGGCAAACAGAGATAAAATGAGAGAATTAATGTGGAATATACCAGTAAAAGTCCCATCTTGGTTTAACTTTGGTCATGTGATTATCTCCGTAGGGGTAGTCCGTCTCGGATCTTCGGGTGTTGCGGAGTGCGCAACACCCTATGGTGCATATAAAGATGAGAAAGATGAGGATGACGATGTTGAGGACAGAAAGTTTTTGCCAGTTACGCTTCATGTCCTCGAGTACCCCTGCCTTGCACGAGTCGCACTCGTAGCAAAGCCACCCTTCTGTGTTGCTCCACCACGAGCAATCCGGATCCTGTGCAACCCCCATAATTGCCGCTCCAAATTGGCATGAAGTTGGCGGCTTGCAACAGCCTGACTGCAACATGCAACATGATTCTCCATTTAAACCTCATCGAAACCACATGAGCAAAGTTGTGGACAAGACATGGGCATAAGTCCATTTGCTTTTAAATGAACTGGAACTATTCGTTGCTCTCGCACCCACAGGCAAAGCATTCACTTTGGGCAGATCATTTGAGCTCAAAATTTTTGGGCCACCTTTATTTGTATTAACAATCAACCGCGAAAAAAAAAAAGGGAAATTTATAAAAACCTCACTATTTGTACTTTCTCGGTAAACGCTTTCAATATTTTTGATACTACACTATTAACCCCAACTCTTTTTTGCAACCATCTCTAAGTTAAAACCTTAACTTTTTTGGAATAAAAAAGCCCTCTTTTTAAGCTACGTTTCTTACTTTATCTCTCTAAGCCGGTCTAGCACAACTTGAACTTAGGTGCTGGTCAAGCACAATTTCAGTATGAACCAGTTTGACATATTCTGAGCCTGACCAGCATAATTCCAATGTGAAAGGCCGAGTCTGGCACGTATTGTGTCAGATCGGTACCTTTCGTCAAAATTTAGTCAGACACATTTTGTACCAAACCGGCACAAGCCAGTCCAACACATTTTGTGCCCGACCGATGTATATTGGGTCAAGTTTTAGAATTATGGGCTAAAATTGAGGTATTTTGGTCCCAACAAAATAACTTTTTCACTTTAGGTTGTTTCCCAAGAAAAATAGTTTTGGGGTAACATTTGCGGTTGTTTTTGGCCGAGCCAGACTAGTTCCGAACTTCACCGGGTGTCGATCTGGGCTTGCTAGGTGGCAGCCCTACCTGAAGGTGCAATATTCAAGGAGTAAATGTGGGTGCGTTGAGTAATCATACGAGAATCGGTGATGGTTGCATATGTAGAAGGCAAAGACTAGAAAGACGGATCGGTGCCTTGGATTGTCGACCTGGATTTTTGTTCCTCCTAGGTGGATTGGCAGTAGGGATCAGCGATCCAATCTACCGAACTGGTCATTAAAAATGTAAATAAATAAATAAAGTGGAACTAGTTGTGGCTGGTTCTCTGAAAGAACCGGATGGTTCAGAACCAACCGTCTCATGAAGAAACCGGAGAAACCAATCAGTTCTCAGTATTTAGTGAGAGTTGGTTCGCCCAAAACACTTCCAATCCAGATCGGCTGGTTCCGATCTACATTACCCTTTTTTTTAAGACCTTTACAGAAGGGACAACTCTCGTGGCCACAGCCTCCTCGGCAAAATGCATAGCCACACTTGTTTCTATGATGTTCAAGGGCTGGTTCGTGCAGGCCTGCTGTGGTCGATGCCCAAAACAATCGCGGCTGGCTGAGGCCCATACAAATATTGAAAAAAACTATTTTTATTTGGAGTCAAGTTCGATAGGGCAGTTATCAAAATAAGTAAATCCTTACCTCATAACTTACTGACAATTGCAACTCAAGCATTGGAAAAGCTTTACATCTATCATCTTAGCTTTAACATTATGGTTGTGAAAAGCAATTAAAAAATTAAGATCTAAAAATAGTGTATATTATAACAAACTATCTAAACCATCCATTTTTCTTTGAAAATAATATTCAAAGATCTGCAAAATGTGTACCATTTTCTTAGTTTCAAATTTTATTATTAGTAATGAAAATTGATTTTAGAGCCATCATAAAAAGTTTCATTGCCGAAAGGACTTTCTGAATAAAGATTTGAGGTGAGGGTTTATTTTCTTTTATAAAGCCTAGGCCTTTTAAAAACTTCACCCTCATAACTTGAGGAGTGTAGAATTCAAACTTTTTTGGCTAGTGGTTGTCCAGGTGCCACCTGAAAATAAGCTGGACCTAGAATCCCAGCCGTGCAGGCCTTAACATACGGCTTGAACCTGGTCCAAACTAAGCCCACGGACTGGTCCAAACCCGTTAACACCTACTTCTATAAGTATAATAAAGGAAGTCTTGCTTCTTTATAAAAAGAAAATGCATGTAAATAATGCCGGGTGAGGTTTGTATAATGTGCCCCCGTTAAACTATACAAGTAGGCTGCAACTTTAAATTTTGTAGAAAGGTGCAGTTTTTGTGTTCGGAACATTTTTGTGACTTGAAAATTTATGTTGAAATTCAAAATTTGAAACACAATGCAAATCGAGTGGATCTATAAACTCTTGAAAAATCATACAGTCCAGATTGTTTGTTACAAGATGCACTATTTTTAGGACTAGAATTTTTTTTTTTCTTTACATCCATTGAGCTGATCCATTGGATAGTTTTTCAACTTCAGAACACTTTTATCTATTGGATTTTTTAGATGTATTGTACTTCTGTAGTATAAAGTTGTAACCCTATATAAACTTTTGGTGATTAACATGCCGAACTCCTACAGGACCCCATACGGCTGCCCCCGTTCAAGACACCCTATTTCAGAAAGGAGACCTCCCCCGGACTCCCTTGACATGGGTTCCATTCCTCCCACACGAAGGAAATGTAAAACCACTGCCTACTTCTCTGTTGTATAAATACAACGGAAATTTACTTCAATAAAATTTAAAAATTATTCTCAAAATTCAAATTTTCATATTTTATGCTTATGTCTAACTATTTAAATTTTATATTATATGTTATTTAAATTTTTTACAATACAACAGATTTCAATTTTTTGTGTTCACACTCATCATCTTTCGCACTAAAAAATATAATAATAAGTTTAAATAGATAAAATGACCCAAACAACTAGATGGCCCTTGAAATTTGTACAGATATTTTGCTCATTTTTTTCTTATTATATTTTTATAGTTTTCATAAATGCGTGATTATATGGAGTGTGGGCATACAAAATTTGAATTCAATTTGCTATATAGAGGAAAAAAATGTAATTGAAATACTCGACACACACTCCTAAAAAGTTGGAGGAATTAGGGCAAGCAACCGACCGAGCCAGGGTGGGGGCCAGCCTTATTCCTAGTCCTACCCTAGTCCCAATGCTGCTAGTGGCCCAGGCACGACAATAACCTTATCAGGGCCATGCCAGCCAAAAAGAAAAGAAGGAAAAAATAAAGAAACTGATGGCTGGGCCGAATCGAGCTAACATTAGCCCACCCTGACCCTACTGTTGGGCTGTGGTTGCCCGCCCCTTGTTTGAACCTTGGACCACCCCTAGAAGGAATGGGCTGACGGCTAGGAGGTCAAATCGACCCCTAGAAGGAATGGGCTGAAGGCTAGGAGGTCAAATAGACACCTTTGGGAGCACTCTATACACTTGCACCCTAGGAAAAAGAGCTACTTAAGAATAATATTTTTATACAAAAATTTTAAGATTCAAGTTAGAATCACTTGAGCGTATTTCCGAAAAATAAATATAGGATATTAAATGCTTGGATCTGACTTTTTCTTCCAAGCACATGTGGAGTCCATGCAATATTTTTCTAGGTTTAGTTGCGTACCCAATATTTGGGCAATTTCGTTTCCTTGTTTTTGAGGTTATCTGCTAGGTTTCATTGATTCATAGAGCCTTTTGGTACAAATTATTTCTAAATTTTGTCAAAAAGTATCCACATAAAGCACATATATTGTGCTCTTGTGGGAGCATATTGTACATCTACTACCCCGACCAAAATACCTAGCTAGGCTGATTTTTTTAGCCTAAAATTTTAGAAACCCTATAGGAATTACTGGATGATTATTTTTAAAAGAAAATAAAATTGAATTTCGAGTGTTTTAGCACTTAGATCTATCTCTTCAAAAATTGGATGGTTCTTATTCAATCTTGAGATATTATTGTTTTCTCGTACATAGAGTTTATTTTGAAAGTTTTTTTTTTTAATGAGATTATTCTATAGGTTGTAGAGATTATATCCTAAAATTTGAGACCTAAGCAAAGTATCCCTAATATTCCTAACTCGTGCTTTACCCGAAGGAGTAAATAGATAGCACACTTCCAATAGGAAATCTTTTGACTAACCAAATTTCTCCCATTTACTCAAATAAAAAATAAAAAATTCAATCCTAGACGTGCCTGATAAACTTGCCCCAATTATCCCATACGGGTTAGATCTTGACACAGGGGTAGTGTTCTCGTAATTAAATTAATTATATTATGCATACATAAAATATTTTTTACTCAAAATAGTGTTTGCATGGGCATATCTTGTTATAAGTACTACACATTTTAGATTCCCTTCCAATGATGAATTTTCTTTAATTAGAATAATACTTTAGAATTCATAAGGGATTTACTTGTCAGTGTATCCTTTCATTCGATCTTTTAGGTCCTTACTTTGTTTGGATGGTGTCATTTGAAGTGAAGCATATATGCAATGGATAAAATATTGTAACCATGTAATATCTGCATTATAGTAACCATGTAATATCTGCATATTTGAACAGAATCTTGGTATTAACGTATGTAAATTGCACTTGATTAGAGCCCCTCTCTTAACTACTGCATGTATACGTTCCAAGGAAGGAAGTGAACAAGATAGCGGGAAATGCTGATTCACAGTGTTTGATGGTTGATTGAGAGAAAGAGAGATTGGTAGAAACAGGGAGTCGAAGTACCTGAATTGGTGAGAGGTCTCGTTGGAGATAGTCGAGTGGTGTCCATGTGGCTAGAGAGGCGCAGGTCCTCGAAGTGAGGATGCAGCTCCGAATATGGCGCCAGTTGGCCTCGTCTGTCACCTTGTGCCTCAGCCACGGGGAGTAGCCTTCCAGGTGATACTCCTTGTACTCATGTCCCGGCACCTCCACACCCTTCCCTTTGCTCGTCACCACGAAGGCGAAGATGGTGAGGGAGAGGAGGGCCACGATGAGGAGAAGCATCGCTGCCAAGTAGGCCCGCAGTGCCAACGCCACGTTGAAGCATGCCCCTATGAACCCTGCTAATGAAACTGCCAGTATCACGAACCCCAGCACTAGGACGGGCATCTGCAAGAATGACTGGCAGGTGCTGCTGCTCCTTGCAAGCCATAGCCCCCCTCCTATGACTGGAATTGAGGCTACAAGTGTGAAGAGGTTTAGGATTCCTATCACGCTATTGCTGAACCTATACACCATTCTCCCTCTCCCTCTTCTTCAAAGGCTTGCTCCCCTCCCCTCTCTCTTTCCGCCCTTCGCTTTTTCTTCATCCTTCCTCTTTCTTTTTCATTATTTATTTGTATTTGAACCTTCCATTCTCCCTTTTATTTCTAGGGCGGCCGTTACTTTCCTGAATAAAACGCCTGGGTCGCCAATTTTCTTTTTCATACAGCACAAATTGGCTTTATTTTAGGAAAGACATGGAGAACCTCCCGCTAACTATTTTGTCTGACTTACGTACCCTTACCTCCTTCTATGATGTTGGTATAAGAGAGAGGGGCATGGGCAGGAAAGTGATGACACCTTGCATTGGGAAAAAAGAATGCTTGCTTGGTATTAAAGCGTTTTATGCTAATCCTGTTGTGACAATACATTGCATCGCATCGCAACAATGCTTTTGGGGATGCTCTTTCTACTTTCCCTTTTTCCTGAGTTGCTTGTTTATAAATATTCTTTCTTTTTTCTTCTCCACCACACCACGCCTACTTTCTTTTTCCATTAGATACAATTTAAAGGGGGACTGACCCTGCTCTGCCCTCTCTTTTCCAGATGATACAGGCTTTTCCTTTCCTTATCCTGTTAAATGTGAGTTGGGGTGGCTGTTTTTAGTTTCCATTATCAAAACCTTTGGCATGGAATCCAGAAAGCATAATAAGTGGGCTAACTCCCAGATCATAGTAGAATGAAAAGCATTCATCTTCTCAACCCAATTTTTGCCATGATTTTACACTGGCTCAGCCGAGTTACTCGGCCTCACCCTACCAATTTTATAGATATTTTACGTCCCACTTTATAATCATAAGTGGTGGCATGGTTTTTTTGCTTACCATGCACACTTGTACTTTGACATTTGTGATAAAAAATGAGTACTTTATTATATATACTTTATTTTAGTTTTTTTTTTTTTTTTTTTTATAAGATGAGATGAACTCGGCCAAGTTACACGGACTCGATCGAATAACTCGCCTCGGCCAAAGTCCGAGTACCTTGGCCGAGATGATTTTTGAACCTTGACCATAATATTTGGTAATCATACATAGCCAATAAATATATTTATTGTTTTGTCCATTTTTCACCTGAAAGGTGCCCACAATTGTAAGTTATTTATTGCTCACCTCTAGCCAAATGCATTTAAACAGTGTTTGAAGTCACTTATACATCAATATTGCGCAAAATACAAATTACTTTTGTGCTGAAATTTTTGTGCATATCAACAGGACACAACTTCCTCTCAGCTAATGTACAATCACCGAGGATCTATTCGTCATATTTACTGCTACCTACTGCAAAACAGTAAAATAGATAGCAAACTATTAGTTTAGAGTGATAAATTGGAATAGTATACTATTTAGATAGTGGGGATCCTTCGAGGGTCTCAGAACTAAGTCGTCCATTAAGGGTGGATGTGAGGATCGTTAGCTGTTTCTGTTAGGTTTAGGTAGCCGTTAAAGGCTTTATGAGAGCTTGTATAAGCATTTTATGCAATGAAACATAAATTCAGTAGGAGTGTGGTCCTCTTATGGACTATACTAGACAAATGCTATTTGTCGATACTCGGACTAAGCTCGACATACTAGGCTAGTCAAGTTGGAAAAACCCAAGGTACTTAGACATATAGTTAAAGCTGATGAGGGCTCAATAGGTTAACCTTCGATGACTCAAAGTATGCCAAGATGAATAATCCCTATGATAGTGTTGCCCTTGTATGATGGATGGTCTTTAGAGACAGGCTAAAACCTCATCATCGTACCATCATACGGCATGTATATAGATAGCTCCATCAAGATAGAAATCCACCATTGAGGGTGAAGAGTGTACATGTACGAGAGATTACCCCTATGCACCATGGAGCCGTGGTTACATCATGATTTGGAGGACTATGGTTTTATCTCTAGGGGAGAACTTGAAATCCATAGATGGGGATACATGCCCTAGCCTATTGGCTGACTTTGGTGACCCAATCATGAATTCTTGTAGTGGATTGTGGGTCACGGAAAACACTGAGTCAGTTTGAGAGCGCTAGTGTGGATCATGGTCTAAAGTTGAAGGTAGAGTGCTCCGGTAGATTGATAATTCCTAGACCTATATGGATTTGATTTGCATCAAAATTAATTAGTTCTAATTAATATTATTTTATATATTTTTAGAATGTTTATTTGAATTTTTGTGATTCTCTTGATATTCTTGTGTTTCCATTTGGATTTACAAAATTAGAGAAAATCATTTTCTAATGTCGTAAATAAAACTAAGAGATTTAAATTCTAAAAATCGATATTAATATTTTCTAAAATATGTGGGACCCTCCATATCATATAATGCTCATTTGTCACATGTTGAAATTTGGGTGGAGTCCATGAGGGGCCACCTAGGGAGGCACGCCACACCCATGGGACGCTTATACTTACTAAAAATTGTGAGAGGCATCCCATGATAGTTGGCTTCCCATTTTGGTGTGAAGCCTTCTTGCATATGAAATCAATGAATTGAAATTTAATATGAGTTGTGAAACAATATATTTTGATTGATAAAAGATTATAAGAATAAGGGATGAATATTCATAAAAGAGAAAGTATGAGTAATATTGTTTTTATTTATTTATTTCAAGTGAATATGATTAGGCAATGGAGGATAAGGTTCTAACACCTGCTTTTGAATCTTGATAGTGAATCTCATGGATGGATGACTCATATCTCTCACCCCATAAGTTTCTTTAGATCTATGGTCTAGATTTAATCTCACTAAAAATGACAAACCCTAAAGCATAGCAAATCTATAACTAGAGGCTCTCCTGCTCCTAATTCTCTACAGCTCTTCTCTTTTCTCTCTCTAAGAGTTCTCTCTCTCTCTAGATCTCTCCTTTCCTTCTCTACGGGCCGACACCCTAACCTACGAGTCTCTCTCTCTCTCTCTCTCTCTCTCTCTCTCTCTCTCTCTTTTGGTGGGTTCAAAGGGGGATACACCCCAAGTAATAGATCTCTCTCCCTCAAGTTGGTTAAACAAAGGGGGGGGGTATGCCCAAGCTAGGTGGGTTGCAATGGGGGCCCGTCAAGACTAGTTCTTTCTCTCCCTTGGTTAGTATCTCTCATATCTCCAAGATCAAGCAAAGGGAGATTAAGTAAGACTAAAGTGTTGATGCTTTAGCAAGTTGGTTTTAAATCGAGACCCATATACCTTTTAGAGGGTTTTTCCATACATAGTATAATCAAGATACCGATCATTGATTTCGATTACCATTGGATGGAGGAGACTCAGCGTGGGGTGTACTAAGCCTAGTTGAAGTAATCTCCAACAATTTTACTTATTTTAATCTTATTTCTTTATTGTATGTTTCTATTCCCATAAAGCAATGTGTCAAAATTTTTTAATAAAGAGTTGTATTTAAGTGGTAGCAAATGAGAACTATTTTTTTTTGTTTATTTCAAGAGTGATTTATTTGTAATTGAACATGGTAAGTGATCTTGTTGATGTAAAAATAAATAAATAAATATATATACACCGTGCTTTATCACATTGTCCATCTCTTTGTTTCCACAACATAAGAGGGTTTGGGTGTATTTCTACATCAAAGCATCCAACCAAGCATATCATTGCAGAAAAATGGAATGAAATGTTGGGCAGGTATCTTCAATCCACAAAACAATAAATGATTGGGTAGATAATGGTTCCCAAACAATAGAATCCTGCTAACTGTGAAAGTTTGGGGTTATGTACACCGATACTATTGGAAATATCAGCAAGTCGCAAAAGATCCTCACGGGGGCCAATTTTGGAGGATTGTCATAGTTGATGTTGGAGGATATCACAAATAATGATTGTAGGCCCCAAGCTCTGTTGCAACCCAAAACACTTACATTGACGACTAATATGGGTGCTAAGCCAAAACTTAGCAAGATGCAGTCAGAAGGGTGTCAAAGTTTCATTTATGAGATCTCCAAAATACCTAACAAAATCACGACATTCAGATATTGAGAGCCCCAAGATATATAAGAAGAAATTTTGGTGGCATAGAGTGTGTCACAGTACATTGAAAAGTTGGACAATTTGCGAACGAACCCTAAAAAAATGGTACTAGACAAGGTCCAAACTTGTTGGGATATTGGAAGGCCCCGAAAAAGCATAAGTCTCAAAATTCAATCCATTACATACTGTTTGGTACATTTTTCCAAATATAGCTTTAATAGCAGTGTACTATTTATGTGTTTCCTCGGGCTATTCACCACGGCTAAAAGGCAACAAGATATAGGTGGACACCCCTTCATTTATTTGGCTATTTCTCCAAAGTCCCATAGTAAATTGGGCTGAAATTTGGAGAGGATTTTACGTGTTCAATGCTCTTTTTATTTATACTCATATTGTGGGGGTTCCTTGTTTGGATCCATGCTACATTTGAACCAAAAGTGGAGGTTGAAGAAGGTTGCATATGATGTAGCTTGCACTACCTCTGCTCCAATCCGCGATTAAGCATTCTCTGATAGGTATCTTGAGCTGAAATTCTACAGGAAAACTCTTTAGTCAACTCCATAACCATCCATAGAAGCTATTTCATGGTTCTTAAGAATATTGGCATTCATTTTGAAGCCCAAAGAGTGCAAGAATTTTGATGTTACAATGGAACCGTGAGCTTTACAGGCAAAGACACTCATAACTTCCTCAATACGTGGAATTTTGTAATGAAACTTGAGGCGAAATAATCGAAGCTTGACTCTCTAGCAGTTTGTGCAAACGAAGTGGCCATGTATTGGAGAAAAATGGACAAAATAATGGGGGAAGTTGATGGTATGTGAAGCCCTTGAGCTTCCAATAGAACTTCTTAATATTTCCCCAGAACAAACATGCCCTTACAATAATAACGGGACAAATGTATTATTTATCTTCTTCGCACCTACATTTCATTCTCGCTCTATATAAACCCCAAACCACTATCATTTGAGGGGTTGGAGAGTTGCAAATTAGAGCCTTAGGGCTCATTTGGTTCGTGTGTAATAGTTTGCACATGAAAAATAGTTTTATGTGCAATAGGTTTCCAATCTTGTTTTTTCATGTTTGGTTCACATGGGTAACCAG